TTCACCTGAACCTCCCTGTGCGCCTAACATCTCCCTGTGGCCCTTCGCTTACACCTCTTGTATCCCTCACCCCAGCAGGTAGGCAAACATTTTTTGTTAATAATCTTTGAATCAACTGTAACACTTTCACAGAATAGCCCTCCATGGGGGAATTCCAGAAATACTTGTTGGATGAAAGGATGAATGCCTGGACTTGGGGAAACTTCCACTGCTGAACAAAGGTGGCTGACGTGTGCTGTATTATTCCTTTAGAAAATGTACTGGTCTCACCAGAGTAATCCACTAAGCAGAAACACAATGTTATAAAATCACACTGAAGAAAGTAAAGAAAATAAAGTCAATCTCCCTAGGACAGTGACAATGAGAATATCTTTGGAATATTTTTAGGTCTCTCACAACAGAAAGAAGGTACTTTAACCTCCTTGTTAAAATTGGATTCTCTGATTTTGGGTTATCTGTAAAGATATTAACACATATCGGTCTAATGTTTTGAAACCTGTGGACTATTACCTAAGCAGTCATGCACTATGAGCAGCACACTGAAAGGTGAGGACAAGTAAGCAGTCGTGTCGTCTCACTGGGAGAGGACGACAGGGGAGTGAAGGTGACTGGTGGTGCCTTACAAGGCACTTAACAACCACAACTGCCCTTTACCACACTCCCTCTCTGTGGCACTTTGCTTATTTAATTCATTGACCATTTCTATCTATATTCTACAGGTAAGATTTCAGAGAGGTTAGGTTGTTTCCCAGGAGAAACTGCAATGCCAGGAGTTTCACTCCAGTCCGTCTCCAGACACAAGAGTCCACCATATTGTCTGTAATTCTCTCTAGCACAGAACCCACAGCCTGCTGGCTGGCTCTGAACCTTTCCAGGTCCATTGCCATATCCCAAGGGCAGACTGCTGTTCTCATCCATCATTGGTGAAGGCAAGGCTACTCTTTGTTAGCAAAGTGCACAGTGGACTAGTTAGAAAAATATTTCAAGCTGAAGGCTAATAAGCATTTTCATTATGCAATCTGTAAGGGTATATTTAAAAGCACAAGGTTTGGCCGTATTGGCTTTATTTTAGCACAACTGATGTCCTGGAGACCCACTACTGTTGAAGAAAGTCATCAGGGTCCTTGGAATCCTTCTTGGAAACAGCCTAACGCTCCTCAATACTGCAGTCCCCTTCCCACTCCCTGCCAAGTTCCCCCACACCCCTTTACTCACAGACACACTTTACTCTGCCCCAGAAAGAACTGTGATTCTATTCAAGGACAAAGGTGACCCTCAAGGACATGTCAAAGGCAACAGTAATAAGAGTGGAATTTCCTATACTCTCAAGAAACAAAAAAGGTCTGTTCTTTCTTCACTGTTCCCAAGGGTAGTAAGCGTACATTGTACTCCCTCCTCCCTAGGAGGTGTCCTCACCATTTGGAAGAACAGGCCAGGCCAGTACAGGACCAGAAGGAAAACAGTCTGTCGTGGATTGTTCTGGGCAGGATGGGCACCTTTACACTGCCTTGCAGCTAGCTGATGCTGTAAGACAGCTGGGCTGTCAGTGGTTAATTAGGCTGCTCAGCCCTGGGAAGGCCAGAGAAGTCAGGTAGGGACAGAGCATGTATACACGGCCTAAGCACCTTGGCCCAGGGAGCAATGCATTTGCATTGTGGGACATTTAGGAGACACATTTGATAGTGAATGAGGCTGGAGACAGGCATGGAAAGGCAGGGTCAGGAGCTCAAGACAGACTTTCCTGACTTTTTCTCTTGGGCTGACCCTGTTCTTTCCCTTCAGAGACCAAGGACAAAAATGTATGCTATTGCCAAGCAGGAACAAGGGTAGATAAATGGTGACTGCCTCAGATGAGAGCCTTAGCAAGCATAACATATAGTGCCATAACATATTTGTGGGATGTACCCTTTTTTGATAAAAGATACCCATTTACAAACTTCCTCAGCAGAAACAGACTTGATATTTTACAATTTGAAGAGTTGGTTTCAGGGTTGTTAGTCAGCAGTGGCAGCTTCCTCAGTCACTGTGCTTTTCCCTCTGAGGATGGAGGGCAAGTCTTCTCCATGCTAACATGCCTTACACCTATGCCTTTGGATGTAGAAGGCAGTTGGAAGACATGAGTAACGATTGAGTGAGTCATCATTCAGAATCAGCAAGAAATACCCTTTTTGCTGTTCCTCCTTTATGTTGGAGAATTAAATAAAACAACTTTAATTTGCATGACTTAGTTGTCATGTCTGCTTCTTTTCCACATCATTCTACTTGTCTGCTAATAGACAACTGACCTTTATGGTTATATCCATCCTTGCCAAGAGCTGACTTTGCAAGCAGGTAGCCAATTCTCTAAAACATTCTAGAAGGAGGATTTCATCTCACTTGGCACACCAAGGGTAAGATCAGTCTCACTTGCACACTCCCCTCCATGGATCATGAACTCATCTGGGTTTCAAGAACTGAATATGCCACCTAAAGATGGCATCCATAATGATGCTAACATCCCTGGAGTTCAGATACAGCCTGGTTTCAGAATCTATCTGACATAATGCATAAACCAACACTTCGGTGGTTGTTCCCCCTGCTCTGCCCACCCTCCCAGTAAAATGACAGCACCTCCTTTCAATGGGACAAATTGAAATACATAGTCTGAACTGAAATGACTCATCTGTATGTCTAAGGACTTTAATTTACTCTATTATATTTCAGAATAGACACAGGACACTAACTCCTCTTCCCTGTCCTTTTTCTCACATGTGTTGATGAAACAAAGAAAAGACAATAAGTGGAATCTATTTCTGGCATGATTTTGTTTTCAGTGTGAAAATCAAGATTATTATGTAGGGCAACAATGATCCTGATTATCCAAGTATTAAATGTCTTTATTTCTTCTACTATAATAGAATTGTTAAGGTGACCATAAATGTAAAAATTACTTAATACTATTATTTTCAGTAACTGCAAGCACTCTTAGGTCTTAAGTAAGGACTCTAAGGCAAAGAAAAGTGATCGGTTTTTGTCTGAAGGAAACAATTTGTAATCATGAAAACAATTCTCAACCACAGTCAAAATTAACTCCTTGGAATGGGCAGGACACATCTTCACAACAGCAAACAGGTCCTGTAGCTAAATGGGAGATATACTACCCCTTCCCACCGATTGGATGGAAGACATGCTGGAATTGTCTGACTCATTCATAGCTATGTCACCTCTTAGCCTCTGGTTCAGAAATCAAAACATTACTCTATTTTATCTCAAAAACATGTCTTAAGATTATGCCCTTTTTGGGCCAGTTAAGTTTAGCTAAAATTTTACAGATATTATATATAGCAGTGGTTCTCAGTCAGAGGACATTTTCTTTTCTGCTATTGGCACCCAGCAGGTACAGGCCTGGAATGATGCTAAACATCCTACAATGCACAGGACAGTGCCCCACAAAAGAATTATCTGCCCCAATATGTCAACAGTGCCAACGTATACCTGTGTTAGAAGAAACCCTGTATTAGAAGAAAGTTGATAAATGTCTCTTTTTTCCAGTAAGTTTATGATAATACTTTTACCATTCAACCATTCACCAAATATTTATTCAGCAGCATCTATAAGGCACTATGAAGCAAAACAAGGCCACTGTCTTCCTGAGCCATACAATTCGAAGAGGGGAAATAAGCAAATAATTGTAGACTGTTGTATATATTGTAAAGGAAATAAACAGGTAACAACAGAGTAATCAGGAGGTGCATTACCTAATTTGGTCAAGGAAGACTTACCTTCCTGAGGAAATGAGGACGTTTTTGACAGCAAATAACAGAGACCCCTAATTGAAGTTGGCTTGAGCAGTAAGGAAATGTTTAAGTTCATTTAACTTAAACCTGGAGGTAGGGTTGGTCTCAGGACTGGCTTAAACCCTGGACTCCAACTTCTCTTCAGTTGTCTCATAACGATAGACTGTACACACTCACCTATTCCAAAAAAATAGTTAAGGTGGCCTGATTAAATAAAAGGGGCCTAAAAATGTATAACCCTGCCTCCTAACATGCTAGGAATGCCTACTAACATACTAAATGTTTTATTTGTATCTAATCCTTCCCAATTCCCAGCAGGATGGGTCTCCATTTTACAGATGAGGAAACTGAGGGCCACAGAATTTGAAGACTGCATAGCTATTACCTACTATTGACATGTTTAGTGCTTTACACACATTTTTTTTACATGCACCTTATGAAGTGGATCACAGGAAGGTTTAATAGTTTCTCAGGGTCACACAGCTAGCAAATTAGTTAAGTATATACAGTCAAGATTCAAGCCATGAAGTCTAACTCCAGGAGGGCCAGTGCTTTTACACGCTGTACTATTGAGTACAGTACTATTGCCCGAGGATTTCAACCTGATCCAAATCTGTCAGGCTCCAAAGACCAAGAACAGTTCCTCTTTTCTGCACAACTTTAGTCATACAGAAGAATGTGGGAAGCACACCCCGCAAAAATCTCATAGTTCTGTTTCTGTTAAAAAATGCTGAGTCCATGAATTTTAATATAAGCATTTGATATTAAAAAAAAAGCGGTGGTAAGGGAGGTATTTTGTAAGGCACAACCAAAATAATTTCACCTTTAGATAGCTACTATTATTGTCCCCATTTTAAAGGTGAGTTAAGTGCAGCAATTAAGTAGCTGGTCTAAGTGCTAGGCCATCCATTAAAAAAAATTACAACTTACTTTTTATCATAAACCGAGGCTTCTAGTCTCGTATCTGACTTTATCAAAGATTTGGCACTTTCCAAGACTTAGATTTTTCTGACTGTAGGTAACAACTCCTAACTTAACTGGTCGCACGCGTTCAAACTGTGCAGGCAGTTCTAGGAGCCTGAGGGAGAGTGAGGCAGAAGATACCAGGCAAACTTAAAGACACAGAAGGGTATGAAAGACCTTATAACAGTACCGGAGTTCTACCTTTTTTTCTTTTCATGTTTGACTCTTGACTGAAAAGTTAACAGTAATGTCTCTTTTCAGGACAAATGGGATTTCAGATCAAACAAGAAAACCTGTATCAAACAATCTATGGCTAAGAGCTGCAGGGCGGCACAAAGTCTGCGCAAGACGTACCAAAAACAGGCAGCCAAGAGTTACCACAGACATACTTCCAAATCGCGCCACATCCAAATGCTTTAAAAAAAAAAGGAAAAACAAAACCTGACATTTTATTCCAAATACCTGCCCACTAATGAATACACGAACATTTAACACAAACCCCGAGCTTATTAATCGCGGTGTAAACGGACATTCCTTCTTCATTACCTACCAACGGTGGGAAAACAGACCACTACAAACACGAATACAAGACAAACGACCACACGACTCAACACTGCGGCTCCAGAAAGCGCGCAAAAGCAATGGAGGTAAGCTGGCTCTCGCGAGAGTTCCCCAAGACAAAGCCGGGTCCCAGCACAAACTGCTGCCAAGACTACAGGCTCCAGCATGCAAGGCGCACACCGACTCCTAGCAGGACTACATTTCCCAACATGCTGTCCTGACAACTGGTCGGCACTCTCAGCATCGGGGAGTCTCACGTTAGAGTCTAGGGGTCAGACAGCACCACCCACGAGTAAACTGTGAAGGTGACGACTTTTCGAATCACTCTTCGTAGCCCGTAAGATTAACAGCAAGGAGCGCTGGGCTGGGGGACCGGAGGGCGTGGGCGGGTGGCCTGTCCGACTGAGCCAATAGCGCGGCAGCGGCTCTCCTGCCGCCATGGCAACGGCGGTCAGCCCCCGCAGGGATAGGAGCCCCCATTGGGTGGAGTCTTTCGAGAAGGCTCCAGAAGAAGGAAGCGGAAGTGGCACGTGGAAGGGCCGGTGGAGGCGCCGGTGAGTAAATGCCGCAGATTCTGGAAAGTTCTGATCAGTGTGATACATAAGGCTGAGGAGTTGAGCCCTCCCCTTTTGGGTCGGTAGTTGGGCGCCAAGCGTGGAGTCAGCCTTTACAGATCCTGGAAGTCACTAGAACGGCCTGCGGAGATTCGGCGTCGCCTGCCTCTGGGTGAGCCTTCTGCGAACCGCCGCGGTCCCCGAGAAGCCGGGGCGTCCGAGAGACAGAGGGCCGGTTGGACTCTGTGAGAGCCGCCCGCAGCGGCCGGAAGACGCGGACCCAGACCAGGGGCGGAGGCTCCCTGCGACCTAGTCATGTCGGTGGTAGGGCTGGACGTGGGTTCCCAGAGCTGCTATATCGCGGTGGCCCGGGCCGGGGGCATTGAGACCATCGCCAACGAATTCAGCGACCGGTGCACCCCGTAAGTGTAATCTGCAAGGTGCCGGGGGGCCGAGTGGTATACTGGGCGAGGGGAGAAGCCGGGCGGAGGCTGCGGAGAGGAGGACTCGATAAGTCGGCGGGCTGGCTTCGGAGCGGCGGGCGGATGGAGGGCTGGAGGGTGGCTTGTGGGGGGCCACCGCTCTTCAAGGAGATCCGACCCCGGTGGCTTGGCCTGCAGGATGCCTACCCACGAGCTGGTTGGAGGGTGACTCGGGGGGCCACGGGAGGTCTGCGATTTGAGCCGACCTGGGTCGTCGCTGGTCGCCGGGCTGTGGCCGAGCCCGAGACTTGGCTTTTGGTCCCGGCAAGCTGTAGTCAGCGCCTTCTGCAGCCCATGGCGTGCCCCACCCGGCTGCTCCGAGCCGCCCCCAGCGCGTCCCCTTCCTTTGAAAGCCCAGCTGCCGAGCTTTTTTTCCCCGTGTTGTGGGTCTCGAAATGAACTGCAAGCTTCCAGAGCCTGTCTGCCGCTGTCTGTCCAGTGAGCAGGTTGACTGTTAGGACTGTAGAGCGGCTAGATGAGTCTATCTCTTCCTACCGGCCCTTCTGATTCCTAACGTCGCTGGCTTCAGTGCCTGGGACCTTTGTGGAAGGTGGAAACGTCCTTTTGCTCATTTTATGAAAGCCATTCAAGAGGAATCCTAATTCTCTAATTTACTAACCTTGCACAGTTTAAATAAAGAGAAAGTAAAAATTGTCTATTTTTGTGCCAGAACTTACATGATGGATGTTGTCACTGAATTAAATATTGTATTTAACAACAGCGTGGGGTGGGCAAAGGGTGGCATTTTAAAAAGCTACCTTTTTAGCGGGCTTATTTTGTGAAGATAACGTGCAAACATGCCTGCTTGTGCATTGGGGAAAACAACTGCTTATTTCCTAGGGAAATTAACCGTAGGTTAATTTATTTTTAATACCTTAATCCCAAGATAAAAGGCGTAGAATGAAACATTGAGCTGAAGGCTAAAATGGGCTTGTATCACTGAGGGCGGATGAACATTTATGAAAGTGAATGGAAGATAAGCAGATAAGCAAACACTTAATGATAGTAGCAGCGGGAAAACTCTTACACCCTGAGCATACCATGATTCTACAGATTTGCCTGCTTTTTAGCTGTGCAAAAGGATTCTGTAGTTGGAGTATCGTAAGAAAGAAGACAGCATCCCTGGCTTCCATGCTTAGGTGCAGTTCACATCTTTGTTCTCTTTGATCCCTATAAAATAAGGAAACGCTGTTCAACTGGGGGTAGAAAATTTGTGTGTGTGGCTGTAGTGACCACTCTGAACTGTGAAACTAAAGATAAGTGGTATGGCTCTCAAAAGTGTAAACTGAGTGCATTGTGAAAGTTTCCTTTAATGTATTTGTTAAAATAGAGGTTTGACTCAATTGCACTAGCTACTATTAATTTCTCTTTAATTTGATTTTCTTTGATATGAGTAAATTCGTTCTACAAGTGTATAGTTATTTGAACTCAGAATGGTTTTCTGGTTTTGGAAATTATCTTCAAGGTCCAGCTTTTGTTTGAACACTTCTGGCTTTTGGGATGCTACTAGGTACCTGCTCAGGAAATTTAGGTCTAGGATATTTGTATTAGAGCAAGTTTAAACTTGGTTTAGCCTGGTACTTAATGCTCTCAGTGGGTTCTCATTTATCATCATCATTCCTACCTGTCGTGAAGTCTAAAACCTAATTCATCTTCGTCCTCCTGACTCTTCCTGTTTGTCTCTGCCCTGTGTCTTGCAACCTTCCCCTTGCTAGAAGGCTGTCTCACAGTCACTGGTCACTTTTCATCTCTCCAAAGCTGACTTAATGTCACTCGTCATTCACTCTTCTCCTTCAGGGTTTGTACTCGGTTCTGTTGTAGTGCTTCTCTGCATCATTACTTGGCTCTCTGAAGTAGTCTTCCATATAGGACCCTTTTTTGTGCTTTTAAACCCCAGAAGCATAACTTAGACCCACTTTGTGGGTTTATAGAAAAACTTGATCTTAGAGAGGTAGATAGTGTTATCAGTACATCAGTAGAAGTAACAATGATATTTAGATTTGTACAGGCTTAGTGGCTGAGAAGTAGAATTACACCATATTTTTTGTTAATCATGTATCTGGGGCAAAGTGGAAAATATACCATTTAACTATTCAAAGCATTTTCAGAGTTAATGAGCACCTCCTAATAACTGGGAACCTAAAGAATTTGTACTGGTACTTGAGGTATTAGGAAATGTTCCCTGAACCATGAGCAGACTTTCATGGAGGTTGGGCTGGGGGGATAAGACTGCTTTCTAGATTGGATTCTCAGTAGGAATTAAGTGGACAGACCCTGACCCCCTCTGAGTATTTGGCCAAAGTTTAGACTCCAGAATTGCCTTACACTTGTGCCCCTCCCTGCCATGGGTAGGAAATTCATATTGGTTTTTTCTCTTTTGTCAGTTAAAAATCTCTATATTTATTCTTTTTTAACTTTTGTTGAAATTTGCCTTATTTTATAGGTCAGTCATATCATTTGGGTCAAAAAACAGAACGATTGGAGTTGCAGCCAAAAATCAGGTATGTTCTTTGAGAATTCTAGTCAGTTTTTAAGGGGGAGATTTTTAAAGGTAAAATCTCAAGGACATGTAAGAGTATGGAATACCTAAACCTGTCTGTTGTTGATTTTTAAAAATATAATGGGAGAGTGTCTTTATGAACCCTTAGATGGTTTTCCCCCTTTTGTTCCCTTCTTGTTTTATTGAATAAGATCTACTTTACTGTCTAATCTGCCAACCTCAATTTTTAATAACTTCACTGCCTTCTTATATATGTAATTTATGTGAAGTTTCTGATACTCATTTAAGAATTAGATTCCTTCTGGAAGTCCAGTGTTTAAAAGTGTTTTCATGTTATTAATAATTAAGGAAGAACTGGGAGAACTTTGTGTCTAAACCTGTGCTCTTTTGTGTGGTAGCCATTAGCTACACATGGCTGCTGAGCACTTGAAACGTGCCTAGTCTGAATTGAAATGGGAAGTGAAAATACACATGCGATTTTGAACACTTGAGCTGAAATAAAGTATCTCATACGTATTTTATACTGAGTGCATGTTGAAATAATAGTATTTTAGTATTTTAGATATGTTAGGCTAAATAAGCTATTGAAGTTAATTTCACCTGTTACTACTTAATGTGACCAAAAGATTTACATATGTCATTCGCACTTAGGGTTCACTTTATAATTCTTGGATTGGGGGAGAAAAAAATACAGTAAAAAACACCCCACAAAATTCCTTCTGAGAGGCAATAAGAAAGAGACTGAAAAGATTCCTTTAAGTACAGAAAATATAGTATTGCTAGAAAGAAATAAAATTCTAAACCCTGGAATATTGTATTGTAGCTAGTTGGAAGAGATGAGACACAGGACGAGAGGTGAAAAACAGGACAGAAGAGATAAGTATGCATACTCAAAATGACATACTCAAAAGGAGAGAGGCACTTCTGCGTTTTTGTGGTTGTGTGTGGAGGATCAGTTGAGGCTCAGATGTAGTCTGTAGATGGTAGACATTCTTCATCTCAGTTACAGAATCATAAGGAATTTTAGATTATAAATATGCTTAAATTTAATATTGTATGAAAACAAGTATTGCCAAGCTGTAATCTTTCCTTTAAAAGAAGTAGGTCAGAGAAAAAAAGTAATTGAACTGTTTGATATTTTTGAGCTGGTAACTTTAGAAGTGTCAGTTTTTAATCTTTTATTTTAATCATTTCTATATTTGAAATACGGTTCTCTTTGCTGACATCTTTGGATGAAATAATGCTGTAAAGTAGGACTTTTTAATCCAAAGCCTAATCAAAAATGTGTACGTGCAATTGAAAGCATTAGGACATTTAGAAAGTTTCGAATTATTCTTGCCTCTTCTGCTTTTTGGTATAATTAGCATTACATGCTATTGGTAGAAAAAGTAGCATTCTGTGTATTTTATGGCCCAAAATGCTTATTCTGGTCATTTAACAATTTATTAGACTGTAATAATGAATTCTTTCTTTAAAAAATGTAATTTTGACTGTAGTACATCTAGATGTCCTTATTTATTTATTCAGTGGGTAGAAAACAAGTTTGGTGGGAAAAAGGAATGAAATAAAGGCTTGTACTTCTTAGTAGTTGCTTCAAAGCTTTAGTGATAGTTCTACTCTCTATGAAGTTACCTTGCGGATTTCGAAATTTGTTTTAAAGTCTGTAGTGACAATACTGCCTCTTATTTCTTACTGCCTCCTATAGGAAAAGGAGAAAGAATGAAGTCCATTCATTGATAGGTTAATTCAGGGCTCTGGGGAAGTTACTTATGTCCCCATAGTTTGAGTTCTACAAGCGACTTTTTGTAAAATTGCTGGAAGTACTAATAGGTGTTGAAATTTAGAAAATAATTTAAAATCTCTAATTTCTTGTGCAGCAAATCACTCATGCAAACAATACAGTGTCAAACTTCAAGAGGTTTCATGGTCGAGCATTCAATGACCCCTTCATTCAGAAAGAGAAGGAAAACCTAAGTTATGATTTGGTTCCAATGAAAAATGGTGGAGTTGGAATAAAGGTAATAATATATGAGCAACCTTAGTGTCATAATATGAAGCTAATTAATCTATAGAGAAAGATATTTAATTCTTAATGAAAATTTAACTGTCATCTCTTAATTGAACAGCATGATCTCCCCCCCTTTTTTTCCCACCTCGCTTCTCTTAAAATGTAGGCATAGCTTTAAGTTGTCCTTGAAAATTATTCGAAAAGTATATACTGCTATAATTTGATTTGTGTTTCTTCTAATTTCTTGACAATTGTAAAATTTAGGTTTACTTAGTAGTGTTTAAAAAGCCTAAATTGTGCTGTCATGTCACATAAAACTCTGTTTAGGGCAGCCAAGTTGCATTGTTTGGAGAGCTGTCTTGTAATACAACCAGAAATCTTTTTTTAAACCCTCAGAGGCATTCCTGTCTTATGATCTACACAAAATAATATTTATCCCAATGATTCAGCTCTTTAGAGTGGAAATTTACTGCCTTCTATAATGTTTTGACTAGTACTTAGAGTTGGGAAACTCTGCCCTGTTACCATATTTTTCTCTTCATCTCTAGGAAAGCTGTTTCTTTGCTTCCCTTCCCTTTCCTCCTTTCCTTTTCTCCTTTTTTCCTAAACAGCTATGACAGTAGAGACTTTCTGGAAGAGAATATGTAATAATTGGGAGGAAATATTGGCAGGTAGCTCTAACTGCCACTGATTAAAACATTTTGTTTCTGTAAATAGGTAATGTACATGGATGAAGAACACCTGTTTAGTGTGGAACAGATAACAGCCATGCTGTTAACTAAGTTAAAGGAAACTGCTGAAAACAACCTCAAGAAACCAGTAACAGATTGTGTTATTTCAGTAAGTAGAATTCAGCAAGGCAATGTGTTTTAATTTGTCTGCTTTGCGTTACTTTCAAGTGTCCAATGTGTGAAAGCTGTTCTATTACTAGGGATCAAAACTATATGGGACTGTGTTAACATAGGAGTATTTCAGAGGAGGTTCAAGTGGAAGTTTGCAGAGGTTCTTGAGATGCAAATCAAAATCTATGGGTCTTTTTGAAAATACAGACTGATTATTCGAATAGGAGATATTCTAATGGTTCCCATACTGTTAAATAACTTGTGTACATAGACAGGAGCTTTTCTGAATTCCACCCCTGAAGTTGAGAAGCAGTGCGTTAGAAGTTTTAAAATACAACCTACCAGTATTAACAAAACCTAGATTTTCAGCCCTAGCCAGTCTACTACCTCCAAAGGACAGTTGTTAGGTTATCAAGGAGTTTTTGAAATGGATAAAAGCCACCTTTTATTTGGACACCAAAAAAGGAAGTTCTGAATTCTGTTCTCTCAAGTGTCTAGGGTAACTTCTTGATCTGCTCGGCCCCAGGACGTACCTACACACCACAGTCTTTCATTACAGCCTGGGTAGGTGGCCTGCTGGACTAGTCAGAGTCTGTATGCCAGTGTGTACTAGGATATGGAAGAACAGAGACAGGGCTGAAATTTCTCCTCTCGCCTTTGTAAGCTAGAATGTGACCTACCACAGGGATATCTGCCTGTTGCTAAGAGTAATTACTTTACTCTCTGATAAAACAAATCAAGTTATAAATCAGTGGTCCTATTCCTTTTTTTAAAAAAGGTCCTTTTTTCTTTAATTTGATGAAAAAACTGATGAAAACAGTGTTCTGATTTGAAAGGTGAGCCAGAGACTCATGCTGGTTCTAGCCTCTGTCTCTTTCTGAAGCATCTACAATTACTTTGGAGGGAATGTGTGAAGTCCACTATAGTGAGCTTTCCCCTAGGTACTTTCTAATTAAATGCTACTATGAATGTATTGTTAGATGCTTTTCTAGAGGAGTATCCTAGTTAAGACACTGTCCTAAATGTGATTGAAATATTTTAGTTTGGAGCACCAGTCACTCAACACCATGAGAAACTCCATCTCCTTGAGCTGTTTTGCTCTTCTTTCTGTTAGGAAAATCAACAAGCTTTGCAAAGAAAAAAGTTCTTGTAATCTTAACATGTCTACTGAATTAGAAGATACTGCATCATCTAGTAATGCTTGAGCTCAAAAAGTAGCAAAACTAAAGGGCAGTAGCATATGCTTGAATTAGCACTGTGTTTAAGTTTTTGTAGTCTTTAACAGCTATAGTTACATTTAATGTTAAATGTTGATTTAGCATTATAACTTCCAAATATCAATAGAAATGTAAGACATTTGGAAATGGTATTTTATCCACTTAATTTTAAAGCTTTCTGATAGATTTGAAAACCTCAATATGCCTTATGAAAACTGGTTTGTTTTTATTTTGAATTAAAATTTGGTTATAATAAAGACTACTTTGTAGATACTGTAAGTTTAGAGTAATCTTTTCAAAAGTAAGTTAACTGTCCTTAATGTTAAGGAACTTGCTAGGAACAAAGCCTAAAGTTTTATTTCTGTTTTATAACTTAGCTAGGAACCTATTTAGCTGGAATGTTAGGAATTTATTACAAGTGGTTATAAGGAATTTGTATGTATTTTGTTTCTTTAGGTATGTTAAAATTCTTTGTCTTTCTCTGTAGGTCCCCTCTTTCTTCACAGATGCTGAGAGACGATCTGTATTAGATGCTGCGCAAATTGTTGGCCTAAACTGCTTAAGACTCATGAATGACATGACAGCTGGTAAGCAAAAATTTGTGTGACTGTACTATAAAAGCTAGAGCTAAAACACATAAGGAGCAATTACTGAACACTATCACATTGATACAGAAATACTATTTAAAAACATGTTAGGTTTGAGAACAAAAATTCCAGCTTTTCATATGCGTACATTTAATGAGAAATTGCACTTTGTCAGATTTATGAATGTGTTTACATTAGAAAATTCTTTTATGTATACCGTGTGGGGGAGTAGGTTTACAGTTGTATGTGCAAAATGGTTTGTTGTTGTGCTACTGTATTTTGCCTACAGACAACTGTAAACGTACTTTTACCCTACCCTGTATGTATTTTACTTTTTTGAATTATGTGTGTTGGATTTAGTTTTTTAAAATTTTTTATGTTCTTACAGTTAAGACAAATTTTCCCAAAATCTTAAGATTCTGGGTTTCACAACTATCTTGACTACAATTACTGATGTAGTTAAAAAAATTCTCTCCTCTTATAATTTGCAGATATATGTAGTTAGGCATTGATCATTCATCTCTGTCTAATACTAAACTGTATCATTTTTCAGGCATTGGGTTAGAGGCAGATATAATGTTGAGCAAAGCAGTCACTGTTACCTCCTCCTAGAGCTTTTATGAGTTTATTATGATTTCAGATGACCAAAAACTCAGTTACAGTTTAGTGTCAGGCAAAATAAATTAGGCTTTTAAACATATTTCTAATGGATTCTAAGTTTTAAAGTTTCAATAAAGCCATGCTCTTGGGTATACATGTTTAGAAATACAGTGGTTTCAAAGTTCAGAAAGAGCTAACAGACTCTTTAAGAGAGATCAGTTATTTGTCTTGGATCTAAAAATAATTGGTAGGAACTGCAATTCCTGTAGTTGTATATTAAATTCTTAATTTTTTTGGATGAGCAGTCTCCTGGCAGGTCGTGATTAAAATGTGAGTATTGCGTAGTGAGTCGGATAGCTGTTTGTGATGACATGTCATTGTGTGTCTTCTCCGTTGTGTGTGTCCATACATCGGAAAATGATAGAGCACTCTGCTAAAGTCAGAAAGGGGGGAAAAGTAATCGATGCCAAGAAAACTAGTGTGATACAGGGTGTAAAAACAGTGTGTTCAGCTTTAGTTGTTTGAAGTATAGTCAGGTTTCCTGCATGTATACTTATATTACAACAATGAAATTCCTGAGAAAATGTGACACAAAGAATTGAAACTCACTTATTTTTTTGTAGTTGCTTTGAATTACGGAATTTATAAGCAGGATCTCCCAAGCCTGGATGAGAAACCTCGGATAGTGGTTTTCGTTGATATGGGACACTCAGCTTTTCAGGTGTCTGCCTGTGCCTTTAACAAGGGAAAATTGAAGGTAAAGTCATAAATTGGAATTAAGGGACCAAAATCTATTAAGTGTGTTTTATCTGTCATTACTTTAAGCTACTGAACTTCTTGACTGTGGTCTCCTTGGTAATGACAGAGTGCTGGGTCATGGTGTGAACAAGGAACTATTCTCTAAGGCTGATCTTTATAAAGATGATGTTTTGGCATACTCTATATTCTTGCTTAGGCAAGAAAAGCTTTTTCAGATCATCTTTATGTAATCATTAAAAGTCAAAACTACCTTAAGAATTTAGTATTTCATTTGGATTTTGTAGTTACATTTCTCCTGACTTGGATTTCATGTTTATTTTAGGTAAAAGTCTTGAGCTTGTTAGTCTTCAATTGTTTGAGTAGTCATGTTTAAGATGGTAGTAAAAAATGTGATTGAAAATAACCAGATTATTTGTTGTTTTAACCAAATTAGGTACTGGGAACAGCTTTTGATCCTTTCTTAGGAGGAAAAAATTTTGATGAAAAGTTAGTAGACCATTTTTGTGCAGAATTTAAAACTAAGTACAAGTTGGATGCAAAATCCAAAATTCGAGCTCTTCTTCGTCTATATCAAGAGTGTGAGAAGTTGAAAAAGCTAATGAGCTCAAACAGCACGGACCTGCCACTGAGCATTGAGTGCTTCATGAATGACCAGGACGTGTCAGGAAAGATGAACAGGTACGTCCTGAATTCTGTCAGAGCAAATAGGAAGAGCTTCTGGCAGGGGTGCTGTGTGTCTTAGGCCCACAGTTGTGTGCGACCTGCCGGGAAGACCATGAGCACCCTTAGAATGAGGCACACTTCTGCTAAGAGGGTATTTAGAAAGAGCTTTGCTAAGCACCCTCATGCTGAATCCATCTTTTGGGCCTTTTTTTTTTCCTACTTTTTGGTACTTCTGGGTTAGTAACTGGTGCTTTACCAAATAATGCATTTCCAGAAATATTTTGAAATCAATGGAAATTTTTTAAAAAGTAACAAGAATTGGGTCACATAAAACATAAGAGTAAAATGTCAGTCTTAATGTAAAAGTGATTCGGTGATAACTGATTTTCTCCCCCACCTCCTCCACTTGTTTTGTAAATTTATATTTTAAAAAGTTACAAATTACAATACAGTTAAACTTGGCCCATGTGGAATCCAGGGTGTCTGATAAAAAAATTTACCCAAAAGAAATACATTGGGTTGATAAGATTTATTGTTTTAAAACAAGATATTGATCTTTAGGTAACTTTTCTAAAAATTTATAAGTGTTCCTCTTGCTTACCAAGGGCACAGTTTGAAGAACTCTGTGCTGAACTTCTGCAAAGGATAGAATTTCCTCTTTATTCACTGATGGAACAAACACAGCTTAAAGTAGAAGATGTGAGTGCTGTTGAGATAGTTGGAGGTGCTACACGAATTCCAGCTGTGAAAGAAAAAATTCTCAGATTCTTTGGAAAAGATGTTAGCACAACGCTCAATGCAGATGAAGCAGTTGCCAGGGGCTGCGCACTGCAGGTATGCTTCCTGAGCCTTCCTCCCCCTGCAGGCATACCAGAAACTTCTTCCACCTCATTACATGGTGCTGGCTTCAGGTGGTAAGAAAGCCCTGAGCCTGATTAGATACCCCAGGGGAGGTACTTTCAAGGTAGTCCAAAAGGCTGTAGGGAGAGGAGGATCTTTAAACCTGGACAGTCCAGGAAATTCAAGATTAAAGGAGCTATGGAGCTAGTGTTGCTCAAACTGGGAATGAGGGAGTGGCATGATTCTGGGGTGTGGCAGAAATCAGCTGTCACACATGAATTAGCTTTGTGGGGGTGACAGTTGTTGCAGGGCACATAGGTGGGACTTGGAATGACAATCTGGTATAATACAGAATTGATGTGGGGGAGAGTTTGCAGGGTTAAGGGTATATTTGTTCACTGGTTTTAGGAAAGACTGCTCCCCCTCCAAATTGATTTTAATCTGTTTTTATCAAGTAAGAAGGCAGCTCAGGCCTGATGTTCCACAAAGGAAAAACACCAAATCTAGATGTTACTGATAAAAAGGAGAATTAGTTTCAGTTTATATTTAGGACAATGTCAAATAAATTAAGTAGTTTTAACTAAAATTTCAGGTTAACATGCTTGAGTTTTGATCTGGTTAGTACAAAGCAAGAGATTCTGTGGATAAAGGTATTTAGAAGGACTACCCTTTAAAAGATGAAAATGGAAGAACATACAGATACTTCTTATTCCTGATTATCTGTTGTTTCATCCTGTCCCATCATGCAGTTTTTGTTTTTTATTTTCTTTGACAACAGAGTATGCCTCCTTCTCTCTAATTCCCAGAAACCTGGGAAGTTTTTATAGTTGATGTGTCCTATAAGCAATTTTGAATTTGAATTTAAACCTACCCATTCCATTTGAATTGAGTTTTATGTTAAAAGGTGAGTGAATTATTTATGTGCTCATGATAATTTCTCCTGTCTTTCTTTTTTGAAGTGTGCAATCCTGTCTCCAGCATTTAAAGTTAGAGAGTTTTCTGTCACGGATGCAGTTTCTTTTCCAATATCTCTTGTGTGGAGCCACGATTCAGAAGACACTGAAGGGTATGTATCAGAAAAGAACTTCCAGATAATGTGTTTTTCTATAAGGAAGAAAGTCACAGATGACTTGAATGGTAGTGTGTCTGATTAATCTAGCTGGGACTTTTCAAAAACCAAACCTTTAAAAGTATTTATCTCATTTTGGTGTTATAAATGGTGTGATAGACTTGATAAAGGTTTTGTAATGTGCCTGTTCTGTTCATGTAGCACAATAAGCTTCAGTACTTGATATACTGACCACCCTTCCTTTCTTAGTGTTCACGAGGTGTTCAGTCGGAACCACGCTGCCCCCTTCTCCAAAGTTCTCACCTTCTTGAGAAGCGGACCTTTTGAGCTGGAAGCTTTCTATTCTGATCCTCAAGGAGTTCCATATCCAGAAGCAAAAATAGGTAAAAGCAATTAAGTATGTTTATTCTTAAAGACTTAGTGTACAAACTTGAAACTGACTTTTGGCAGTGTTGAGGGGAACATAATTCTGAGTGAAGGCATTTTCAATTTAGGATAATGGTGATGGAGAAATCTTTATTGATCAATCAACTGGCCTACAGTGATGAAATGGAATTGCTAGTTCTGCTGTTACTTCTAAGGATCTATATTTAGGAACATTTTGATATAATTCATATTCTGATATTATATGTATATTTAAGGAATTACCATTTACTTTTAACATTAACCATTCCTCTAGGTGAAACTACTTTACAGAGTGTTACTTTCAGCTTTTAAAACCTGACTTAGAAACCATTGAGCTACTTCTCAAATGCACCTTTGTATTTTAAAAAACATTACATCAATTTTGGTACATTCTTCTTTGAGAAGCTTGACACTGTCCATCTAGTTTGACACAGTAACTCTAGAAATCTGTGGTACAGCCTCAGGCATCTCTCTCAGCAGCCGTGTTCTTTCCCGGGCTGTGAGTAGAACTTGCCAATATTGCCAGGTCTCTTCAGGACTCACCCTTGCCTGTAGCCTTTCATAATGAAATTGTGGAAGCAGTCTAACCTGGCCCTGGCCAATTGTATGTTTTTCTTACTACTTTACGTTGTAAAAGTCCTGACAGTTTTTTTTCTTTCTTTTTTTTTTTGCTTTTGTTTTTTGTTTTTATGAACCTGTTGGGGAGAAATTGTTGAAGATAGACTGAAATTGTGACTTAAGATTCTATGCATAACTTCCCATTGTGCAGAGTATAAAATCAAGCTTTTTAGCATGGTACCAAATTTTTCATATTATCACCCAAACTGAAAAAGCTTGCACATACTTAAAGAAATCCCTCCACCCCACTCTCTCTGTCTGTCTCTCCACCACATAGTAAATGCTGTTCTTTAAATGGGTCTTAATGGCAGTTACTTCCCAAACTAGTGAAATGATGGTTACTGAAGGTATATTCCAACATCTCTCACTGTCCTGGGAATTACATTCTTGGTGGAGATGGTCACTGACACTTAGTGTCTGGTTCCATAGTTCTTCATGCTCACTGTAAACACCAGCCCAATCCACAGAAGCATGGAAGGTTAAGTAGCTTGCACCTGGTCACAGACTGGGTCAGAGTCAGCATCCATCTCTTCCTTAGTCATGCTCTGGGACTACTCTGTTGTACATAACAATGTCCAGCTTTGATGAAGGTTTTAGCTCACCTCACCTATTTAAAACCTAGGAAACTATTTTGGTTATTCAGTCAGAAAAAATGATATTACCTGAAAGACCGTGTAGGATTAAAATGCAGCACAGCCTGATAACCATCAGCCCTTCACTTGCTAATGGTTTTTCACCCTAGTCTAGATTGTGCTCACCCACCTAGAGAAGTAGGGTGAGCGGTCATCGGTGTCTTACACATGGTGGTGGTGGTTTTAAATAAAAGTGTTAAATAAAAATGGTCACAAGTGTATCCTTGGCCTTTGGACACTTCATGGCATATTAAGGTTAATCACAAATATTAAAATTATAGTGGAGACTTGCCTATGTTCAGAGATTGTGCTTATAATATACATTAAAAGACTTACCATATCTTGCTGTGTATAACGTGCACTATTTTGCCCAAATTTCTGAGGGAAAAGGAGGATGTGCATTATACATGAGTACTAATTTGTATTTATATAAATGTTTTTAATTCTTTTATTTATGCTTATGCATTAAAAGTGTAACTCTAGAAAGTAATAATGGTACCCATATGCAAAATACCCTGGAATACAATAATTGGTTTTGTTTCTAAGTATAAACAAATAAAAAGTTGAACTAAAAATTTAGAACAAAAGATTTTTTTCCTGAAAGTTTGGGCCAAAACGTGGGTGCACGTTATACATGGCACAGTATGGTAAGTCTAATTCAGTTGGTAGAGAAAAGGAGATTTAGGAATAACAGTACTTTCAAACTTAGTTCTTAGCCTTTGTCATCTTTACAGAGATGTAGATTCAGTTCTAAAATTGTCGATTTATTTTTGTTCAGGCCGCTTCATAGTTCAGAATGTTTCTGCGCAGAAAGATGGAGAAAAATCGAGAGTGAAAGTGAAAGTACGAGTCAACACCCATGGCATTTTCACCATTTCCACGGCGTCTATGGTGGAGAAAGTGCCTGCTGAGGACAGAGAGCTGCCTTCTGTCGAAGCAGACATGGAGTGTCAGAGCCAGAGGCCACCAGAAAACCCAGACACTGAGGTAGGTCTGAGGATGAGCCTTTTACGTTTGAATACATAGTTGACTTAATCCTAAACTGTAAGAGAAGGGTAGGGAAGAGATAAAATAGGTTTTGCTTAATTTTGATTAGAATTTTAGGTAATGATGATAATTAACAGTTGCTCTATAATGTTAATAGACAGCGTATGGTTTGATAAATTGTGATTAATCTGTGGAGCTTCATTTGAACTGGCATTTGACAATTTCATTGGAATAGGTAAAGTTTCTTTGAATTATTTTTCTTAAAGACAGACCACATATTGAGAAGTAAAATGTTGACTGATAGTTAAGAAAAAAAAGACTACTATAAAAAATGTTTGGTGGAATATATAACAGATATCAAAGCTAATCTGGTTTTTTGTTTTTGTTTTTTTTTGTTTTTGTTTTTGTTTTTTTGAATGTCAAAACTGGCTTTGGTATTTGCTTTTATTTTTATGGTTTGTTGTATGAGGAAAGAAGAAAAGTGACTTTCTAGAGCAGAAAAGGTTGTTACTGCTCATGTTCTTAATTTAGACCACCTTTAGCATGAGTGCTAGTATTATGTGGTCAACAGAGGAAACTTTAAGAAGCCTTACTTCTGGGTAACAATAAGGAATAGCTTAAATAAAGAGGCAGTCAGTATAGTGTTTAAGATGTGAGAATAGTAATCAGAGACCTCTGTTTCTAGAACTGTAAGGAACATTAATATCTGAGCCTTAGTGTTCTCATCTAGACAGACTTCAGTATAATGAGCAAAATGACCAGGGCCATGGGCTTTCTCATTTGGCTGCAGACACCATTGTTCTAATGCCTGTTGTGTCAGTCTGTTAGGACCTTCTGGACATATCAGGAGTGCCTGGCTTCTGAACACTTCAGTGTCTACTTTAGAGTCTGAAGCTCTGACAGAAAACGATGAGAGGCTTCAGGATGGGCAGGAAGGATCGCGGTCACTGTCAAGTAGCATATAATCTTCATGCTGAGGTCTTTTGGGTATAACTACTTGGACCACAAGCAGTGGGGAGAGGGGTCTGTGTGTCAGCTGTTATGATGAGCCCTGAACAACCGGTGGTTGGCTCTTTATGGAACCATTCAGCTCACTGAAATGGAGATGCATCCACATTCATGGTGACTCTTGGTGACATTAGGTTTCAGAAGCTCGTTTCTGGGGTAGGCCTGGAGCAAACCTGTTTCCTTTGCTTTCAGGAGTCACTATCTATGCAAGGCGAGGTGGAAGTTTTTTAAAGGAAAGTTATTGTCGTTCACATCAGTCAAAGCACCTACTATTTGTGTTATTTAACTATATTAACTGCTGTCACTCAAATAATTTTTTATAGATTTAGATTTCTAACAGGTTTTTAGATTGTGTTCATTTTGCTATTATCTAGTGTTTTACCCTCACCTGTTAAGATTTCAGTAATTGAGCGTACTATCTCTGGTGTCCTGTAACCTTTACATTTATCCAAGTACACCTGCTTTCTACATCCTTTGTGCCTGGGCTTTCATTTCAGAAAAATGTCCAGCAAGACAGCAGTGAAGCTGGAACACAGCCCCAGGTACAAACTGATGGTCAACAGACCTCACAGTCTGCCCCTTCACCTGAACTTACCTCAGAAGAGAACAAAACCCCAGATGCTGACAAAGTGAGTGATGCTTCTAGTTCATTCCATGGACAATGTTGCAACATGTGATCATTAATGATATCATTAAATCTGCAGTTTCAAGAGCAAGCACCAAGTTGTCTTACTCAGTTTATGTAGGGTTTTTTATTTTCCTCTTGATTTTTCTGTGCTTTTCAACTAATACCAGTTGAAGGTACTCAAGCCCAACTAAAGGAACTGAGTATCCTGCGTTAGACCTGAAGGCTTCTCTTGGTTAACTGTCACTGCAGGCAGCAGGAGGCACATAGACTTGGTTGCCTTCTCTAGTGCCAGAGGTGCCTGCTGATGTGAGGAGCAGAAATAGATACAGCCCAGGGCTGTGTGATTAGTTGCCACTTGAACTAGTCTAATGATAAATACACGGGCTACAGGAGTCTGGAACTTTCTTCTCCTCTCACATCACCTGTCAAATTTGAATAAATTAATTAGGATGATCTGGAAATCACCAGACTGCATTTCAAAGTAATTGTTCTTTTGCCCTGCTTCCATAGTATATGTTGGAAGCTAAATTAAATCGTTGTGTTATGTCCCTTTAAAAATGTTGGTTTCTAATTAAACCTTTAAAATTTATAGTTGGATGAATGTTAGGAAGTTTCTCTTGTCTCTCCAGATCATTCTGTGCTTTGCAAAAGTTCATTCCTTTGGCAAGTTGCATATAAATTAATAACCTTCCATTAGTAGTTTGGTTTTCTCATTGTGAGGGTAGAATTCTTTACTCTAGATGTTTTACAGTTGGTGGACGTTTCCAGTTTCTAATGCCCCCGTGTCCTGGTTCCTTCTGTGGGGGTCCTGGTTCTGGTCTCTAAAAGCCTTCCTGCTAGAGTTAGTGGTGCCAGTGGAGCAGCACTGCTTCCTTCATAGTAACAGCTCCTTGATTTCAGCATCACTCCCCTCACTTACACTTAACTGAGCATTAACTGACGGTGCCTATAACGTCAGTATCTGTCTGGAACGTGCCATTGGTAGCACCTCACGCTCTTAGCTGTAGGGGAAGCACCAGCATCAGGTTTTTTAGAACGTTCTCATACACCCCCACAGAGGGCTCCTTGTCCACACCACATCAGATGCCTTGTGGTGACACATTGGTTTTGTCAGGAGTTGGTATAATGTTGTACAGATAGTTTTATCCCGACTTAACTACCACACACAGACTGTCATCCATTTGTTTCCCAAATATCTGTTGCTCTCTGGTGTTTTTGCTAAGTGTAGATGTGATCAGATCCATTTGTCTTTCTTGTGGTTCATGCCTCTGGAGCGTGGACAATGTATTGGAGTGTTCTCCTGTGCACCAGAGGGAGGAAGACACAGGGAGTGCAGGCATGTGGACTGGGTCATTGCTAGTGACGCAGCTTATAGCTGTTGAGAGACATGGGATTTCTGAGGAGCACTGAACTAGAAGTCTGGGAAACAAGAGTTCTCGTCCCACCTCTGTCTTTGTAATTTTAGGCAAATCACTGAACCTTTTTAAGTCCCAGGTTTTTTTCTCTGAAGTGTCCAGGATGTTAACATTCTTTATAGCTGCCCCAAAATGAATCATTGGTAGTGCTTGCTGTGACCTGTGGGCTGATCTCTTCCTACTTTACCAAACCAGCTAGCCAGGGTGCATGTGATACACCCCCTGGTTATCTTCTTCTCTGTTTCCCACATTGTGTTCTTCATTGCCTGTATGAGTGGGAACCTGCAGAAATGGAAATAAATAGAAAAGGCTTGGAAAATTAAAGGCTGTGGGAGATGCTTGCTTCTTTAATCCTATATTTACATACTTTGAAAAACCCACTATAAATTGTCATCATTCACTGCATCGTTATATTTGCTATTTTAAGACTTTTATGAGAAGTGAAAAGAGTCAGGCGGATAGTAGAAATAAAGACATACACACATGTGTGACCTCCAAATTCAGTAAGACATGTTGAGAGGCACTTGTCAATACAGTGCTAATTGTAATTAAAGCAAGTTTAATGCCAGTACAGAAGGGCTTAGGCATATATTACAGAGATAGGTTGACCCTGACATGTCTAGTGTTACAGGTTGGTCTGTCTGCAGTTATTGTCAATTTCTAGACTATACTATAAAGATATAAAGATGCAGCAATTTAATATTTTTGACTCTTCAGAGTCACAATCATTGTTCATAGGGATGAGAACGTAAAGACCAATGGAGAAAAGCTTTAGCAGGAGAGATTAAATTTAAGTTCATTGTGAAAACAGAAATGTCCTAGTGAATTCTCAAATGGGAGAGTGGCATGCTTACATGTCATTATAGCCCTGGTTTAAAATGGGTGGGTGGGAATCAGATGACCTTATACCGTCTTCCACCGTCATAGTTGTGGGGATTTTATATTTGCCTGTGTCATCAGCAAGTATGATAGAAGAGTTTTGTTTTTCAAGGATTATTTAAGAATTTTTATTTTATTTATTTTTACCGTTTTCCTAAGGCAAATGAAAAGAAAGTTGACCAGCCTCCAGAAGCTAAAAAACCCAAAATCAAGGTGGTGAATGTGGAGCTGCCTGTGGAGGCTAACTTGGTGTGGCAACTGGGGAGAGACCTGCTTAACATGTACATCGAAACAGAGGTAGGTACTTCCAATACACATTTTGGAATGTGTGTAGTTGTTTGGCCCTGTTACCCATATTTCTAATAGATAAATGGCTGTGATCCTTTTCAATATCCCAAGTTTTATATAGTTTTACAGATAGGATGAAGCCAAAATCAGTGGCTTCTCAGTTTAATTTTTTAACCAGTTTTGTTTATATTTTTTCATCCTTGTGAAAAACGAGATGGGTACTGCTCTGATTGGTATAAACGTGATTGTTCAAGACCTTGTGAAGAAATTGGATGCCCATGTTTTCTAGCACAGAACACGGCACAATCGATATTTCAGGCTACCCTGAATATTTTTCTGTTAAAACATTGTGCTTTTCCGTAGTCTAGAGTATGTGAAATAACTAAGATTCAGTTTTTCTGTACTCAGATGGGAACACTGTGTTTATAAATTCAACATTAAATATATAAGTGGATATAAGTAATTTATCCTTGATTTTCAGATTTGGCAGAGTGGCCGACCACTGTCCATTTACCAATATCAAATCTCAGTATGAGACAAACATATCACTATATAAAGGAAAACAATATAAACACGTGGACTTTTTTCCTTAGCATTAATTTTCAAATGAGAAAGTTATATAATTTTTTATATAATGTTAGAAAAGGAAGAACTTTATAGGGTTTGTTGTAAAAGTTGTATGAGTATAAATAAGTACTATTAACACTAATTTTTTGGTACAATTTATTACAGAAAACAAAAGTTTGGAATTAATCTTTTCTGTTCCCTCACAGGGTAAGATGATAATGCAGGATAAGTTGGAGAAGGAAAGAAATGATGCTAAAAATGCAGTGGAGGAGTATGTGTATGAGTTCCGGGACAAGCTGTGTGGACCATATGAAAAATTCATCTGTGAGCAGGTGTGTTTAGAGCCTGGTTTCTATTCAGATAAAAAGAGTTTAATATCAAATTCAACATTTGAACCTCTAACTAGATTACGTAATGAGCTTTTCCAAAGCAAAACAACTTGAAATAGAAATTGTATAAACAATGTCATAGGGAGAGGCTCACAGTGATGTGCAGATGTGTTCTGTTCTAGTTTATACCAGTGACTCCTCAGTTTTTACCATCCAGAGGAAAGAAATCTCAAGTCTATGACAGTCACAGTTATAGGGGCTAAAAAGATAAATAAAAGAAAATCTTTGCTTTCAGAGACCTCAAAAACTTTTTTTTATGACTTGGTTGCTCTTATTATGTATTCCCCAAAACTAGTTCATCTAGTCATTCTAAAATTTATCAGCCCCTGTTCTCTTTAGCCCTTGTCTAAGTTCCCAAAGTCAGTAGACTTCTGAGTAAATCCCAGAAGCACAACTGTGAAAGATGGGACTTAGGGCAAAATTGGCTAGAGAGAGATCTAGGATAGTTGAAGAATTAATTCTGAAGTTAAAGGAATTTAAACTTGGTCTGTTTTAGTCCTGAGATCCTTGTGATACATTTCAATTCTCGGCTCTGCCTTGAAATTTCTTAGATGGGTTATTATGGCGATTCTTGAAGTAGTGATAACCCCAACCGGGCTAGACCTCCTAAGGCTAGAGTAGCAGTATATAGTTTATGTGAATTGGGTAGGAATGAGTTTTTCATGTGTTCAGTGCCTGAATCATTTCCCTTTGAGTGAGTACCTAGTAGTTGTGGAAGTGAATAGAACCTAATTGTTTTGAAGAGTACAAAGGTAATTCCTCTTCCATGCCCACATTTCAATGTGGAAATTGTCCATAATTGGACTTACAAGATACAATAATTGTAAGTAAGAGTGATCTACCAAAATTCCCAAATGTCCCAGTATGAAGCATAGAGAAGCCAAAGAAAAGCTGAGCATCCCTATGTGAAATACTAGAGGGGCTGATCGTGGAGTGCATTCATTGCTCCTTGGTTCTTTTTAGTGAAGACAATCCAGTTGATCTGAGTGCTTTCCTAGAAATAAGAGCAAATAACTTGGTATTTAACATTAAAAAATTTATTTTATGAGATTCTAGAGAGGAAAGGTGGGGGTGGGGCAAGAGAGGAAGAGAAAGAAATACCGATTTAACTTATTTATGCGTTCATATTGGTTGCTGCTTATATGTGCCTTGACCAGGTCCTGCAGCCTTGCTGTATCCAGATGATGCTCTAACCAATGGACCAGGGCAGTGCTTAACATTTCTTCTGACTCACTTTCCATCGTGTTGGTTGTCATGTTTCATATATAGGACCATCAAAATTTTTTGAGACTGCTCACAGAGACTGAGGACTGGCTGTATGAGGAAGGAGAGGACCAAGCAAAACAAGCCTATGTGGACAAATTGGAAGAATTAATGGTAGGCCCTTCTTTCACCTCTGAAAGTAGTGCCTGTGTTTTAGACTACAGACTTAAAAATATGATTATGACAAATACTAACTTACTTGTTTTAGAAAATTGGCACTCCAATTAAAGTTCGATTTCAAGAAGCTGAGGAACGGCCAAAAATGTTTGAAGAACTAGGACAGAGGCTACAGCACTATGCCAAGATAGCAGCTGACTTCAGAAATAATGTAAGTCTTCGTACATCTAGAGGAGGTTACAGGAGGTTTTGATCAGCTAATATTTAAGCTGAGGAACCTTTGTTGGGAACAGATGTTCTTAAACGAGAAATTTGGTTTTGGTATTTGAGGCCAGAGGTAGATTTGAGCTTCGTAGAAAATTTTGTCTAGTTAGTTGTCACTGTTAAATACCTTAATGTACAGAATGACAACACTTTTTCCATTCAGGATGAGAAATACAACCATATTGATGAGTCTGAAATGAAGAAGGTCGAGAAGTCTGTGAATGAAGTGATGGAGTGGATGAATAACATCATGAATGCCCAGGCTACAAAGAGTCTTGATCAGGATCCAGTTGTACGTTCTCAGGAAATTAAAGCAAAAATAAAGGTGAGTGTTGTCTGTTCATTGTTGTGTTTTCTTAGGGACTCAAGTTATAATCGCTTCAACCCTGAACATGGCCATTTTTCTTATAAATCTTTTACCTCGTCCTGACTGAAACTAGATTTCATGGTTTATTTTTGATAACACAAAATTTAGAAGTATATGGGTTTCTGTTAAATTTCCATTTTATTTATTCATTCAGCTCAGCAAATGTATTCGTTGAGCCCCTACTATGTGCCATTGTACCAGGTGCTAAACTTCCAGTACAAAGAAAGTCCCTGCCCTGTGGAAGTCACCTGCTAGAGTGAGGAAGACTTGACAGTAAACACGTGTAGCAGTAAATCTGACAGCTTATAAAGTGCTGATGGTACAAATAGAGCCAGAAGGGTTTAGGAGAATTTAGACAGTGGAGAAAAGACCTTGCCCAGTGTGTGAGGCTTGAAGGAAGTTGGGGAAAACCTGAGGAACTGCTTTCTGTCTGAAAGAATATTCAGACACAGTGAAAGTTAAGGAAACGGGAGGCGTTGAAATCGGTGGGCTGCAATGAAGTTCAGATCTTTGGCTTTTCTTATCTTTGGGCTAGATATCATAGGTGAATATTCACTTATCCCTCAGGCTTCAGACAGTAGTATTGAGCAAGTGTAATGAATAAATGGGATTCTTTGAGACTTGTATAATTGAACTTGTAGAAAAGGACTGGTTCAAGTATGTAGGAAAATAATAGAAAATGACCTGGGTAGATCTGAGTCGGTCTGATGACTGAATTTGTTTTCCTTTCTAGGAGTTGAATAACACCTGTGAACCTGTTGTAACACAGCCCAAACCAAAAATTGAATCACCAAAACTGGAAAGAACTACAAATGGCCCAAATACTGATAAAAAAGATGATTTAGATCAAGGCAAAAATAATTTCGGTGCTGAACCTTCACATCAGAATGGTGAATGTTACCCCAATGAGAAGAATTCCATTAACATGGACTTGGACTAGATAACGTTAAATTGGCTTTGTCCTTCAATTAATAATTTTTTTGCCATAGTATGTGACTCTATGTAACATACTGAGACTATTTATATTTTCTTTTTTAAGGATGTTTAGAACTTTGTGTAGTATGTGGAAGAAGAAAAAGCTTAAGTCTGTAGTCTTTATGATCCTAAAAGGGAAAATTGCCTTGGTAACTTTCAGATTCCTGTGGAATTGTGAATTCATACTAAGCTTCTGTGCAGTATTAACCATTTGCATCAGTGAAGATGAAATTGGCTTGTCTTTTGAAGAAGCTAAAACAAACTGTACTGCTTGTTCAAGAGGGCTGTGGGTAAAATTTGTTCCTGCCAAGGTAGTTTTCTTGCATCTTGCTCTCCATTTCGGCATGTGTGTGTGGATGTTTATAAACAAGACAGTCGGATTTCACAAGGGCTTTCTAAAATTCTGTCCAATAGAAGATGATTTTTTGCTTTGATAATAAAATTTATTGAGTAATGCAAATGCTAGTGAAATGTGTTTAGCAGCATGCAGAACAAATCTTTCAGATATCTCTCATTACACAGTGCACTGTCGTGAAGATGTCAAGCGGAAGAAATGTGGGTTCTTTGTGTTACTGGTGTTGTGAAGCCTTTTATGAGCTTTAAAATAAAGTTCATCTTATGGTGTCATTTCTAAATGGTTTTGTCACTGACTTAAATATGGGATGGGGAGAGTGCTGTAAACCTACTGAAAAAATGAAGTCACTTTGGAAAACCAGTTACTTTTTTTCTGCTCCTATATATGAGGGGGGACTTCCCCCAAAAATGGAATCTATAAAAAATGATGTATTCTTATCCTGTCTAAACTTCAGTCACTTTCAAAGTACTATCTATTTGATGCAATACACCTATTGAGACTTTTTTCCACTGCTCAAAACAGTTTTTGAACTCAATTTTGATGCCTTTTTAGTGCTGCTGCCATTTTTTATTTCACCTCTTCCACATCTGCAAATGTTTCCCTTTGAGGACTTTTTTCATCCAGGGAAACAAAAGAAAGTTGCTCTGGGCAGTGCCAGGTGAATAGGGAAGATGGAACATGGAGATCCTGCTGTTTTGGTCCAAAACTGCTGAACACTGAACGTTCAATGGGCAGGTGTGCTCATAAACCACCCATCACGAAATGGACAAACAATGGCATTGCAAAGAGTCTTAAAAAAAAATTCACCAAAGCCAAACACAGCCTTTCATAACATTGCCAGCTGGTACCCTGAGACAGATGTGTTTCTAACATTCACCTAGCAGGGGATGCTTATACTACAAGGGGCCTACCTTGTCGGAGATAATTGTATTTTAGGGGGGTCACCGCCTTGTGTGTTATTTTCTAAACTAAAATGACTTTCTCCTGATAGGAAGCATATATGGATTACATTTAAAGTTTTAAGAATACAAATGAATATAGTTTATAATCCATCACCCAGAAAAAAGTATTGACTCCTGATACATAGTCCTTCAAGCCTTCTAATGATGGGTGTGTGTCAGTGTGGGCATTACATTACAGTGTTGTGTAGACTTTTTTAACAGTATTCCAGGCAAGTAAGTGAAAGAATACAGGGATGGCCAAAGTAGGTTTACAGTTTGTATGAAAAAAGCCAGATTATGATTAATACAGTAGCTTTATTGACTACCTATTTTTGCCCACCCTGTATAATCAGGTGTTCAAGCCTCACAGCTGTGCTGAGTTACATCAAATTAAGGACAGTATTTTTAACCAATCCCAGTGATTTAGGTGTTGACCAAGTTTTTGCTATTCTAAGTCATACTGCAATAAACCTTATCTGGTTGTTTCCTAAGGAGGAAATTGAGGTGGTGTTGGGGCTCAATTGAGGAAAAGACAATAGTGGGGATAACAAGTATCCACACTGCCCACTAAGATGCAAATAGTTTGGGCTCAAGTGGAGGCCAACTTTCCCTCACCAAGGGGTGGCTAATGTTTTTAACTTACCAGTTTACATTACTGTCTCCTATTTAGTTACCATGTACCAGGTATTTCACATGATTTAATACCTAGAAAAACCCATGTACACGGAAAGTATCAATTGGGAACAAACATGGAGATCACATGGAGGGTTTTCAGCAGTGGGGGGTAGGAGGAAGACTAGGGGAAAAGGTACAGAGAATAGCATAAATGGTAGGTACAAAATAGACGGGGAAGTTAAGAACAGTATGGGAAATGGAGAAGTCAAAGAACTTACGTGTATGACCCATGGGCATGAACTAAGGGGGGAGGGATACTGTTGGGAGGGGGATAAAGGGGAGAAAAAAGTGGGACAGCTGTAATGGCATAAATCAGTAAAATACACTTGAACAAAAGAGCATTCAAATGTTAACGCCCACAGCAAGCAGCCATTCAGCACTCAGTGATGTCTTCATTTGTGTGTCAGATGTTTTCAGTTTGTTCATGTCTTGGTCTTTTATGAACTGAATATTTTATTTTCATTTGTTGATTTTTATATAAAATGTTAAGGATCTTAACCATTTGTCAATACTCAAAAACATTTGTCCCACTTTGTAATTTAACTTACCATTTAGAAACCCTGAATTACGTAATTTGTCTCTTACAGTTTTTCTTATGCTCTCTAATGGCGCACTAATACATACTCAGTGGATGGTTCTGTACCTGTTGAGAGGTGAGGATAAGTTAGGTTTCTGTGTACAGTTGGGAACCTCACACAAAATTTTTTTTTCAATATGAATGAGAAAGTAATTTTTTCTACGCCAAAATAGTACCTGATGATAGTGGGGGTAATACCAATCTGGCCTAAACCACTTTATTTTTATTAAAGGTTAGAAATATTTGATAGCCTTACTTTCCTGTAAAGATGAAATGGTATTTCAAAAAGTGGCTCAGCTGACTATAGTTTGCAGACCTCAGAATTGCATTTTTGGATGTAGGACTAAAAACATTGACTATTTTATAATATTGGTTTACGTAATTGTGAGCTATATCGACTAATTTGGATGAATGTTCTGACAAAGGATTGAATTTTATATTAACTTTCACATAAATTGTCACTTGATGGCCCTGGCTAGTGTGGCTCAGTGGGTTGAGTGAGTGCCAGCCTGCAAACCAAAAGGTCACCAGTTTGATTCCCAATCAGGGCACATGTCTGGGTTGTGGGCCAGGTCCCCAGTAGGGGGCGTGTGAGAGGCAACCAATCAATATATCTCTCACACATTGATGTTTCTCTTCCTCCCTTCCCCTCTCTCTAAAAGTAAATAAAATCTATTTAAAAATTGTTGCTTTATGACAATACTTCTAAATGTCTAGTCATTTTAGTTAACAATGAACAGAATCAAACCTTGAATCTAGTTCATGATCATTAGTTATATCTGATGACTTTCTTGGGTTAAAATCCCTACTGCTTCCCTGATTTTTTTTTTGTCTTTGATGTTATCAAACATTACTTTCGGAAAGGTCAAAGCATAAGCTTCAGCTGCTGTTGTCAGTGACCCATTTTTATCAGCAGCATCAAGATAATTTTTGAACATTCTACTTGTCAGTGTATATCCATCCAGGTTTCTCTCCCGCCTGTGATAATTTGTTGTGGATGAATATCTCATGATATAATCAGCACAAGACAATATCATGCTTTTGTGGGGAGATTGAATCTTCATATTTAGAGAGCACTTCCATTTCTCAGTGTTCAGTTTGGTGGGTTAAGCTCTCCTAGTGGGCAGGGACATAAAGCTGTGCTGCTGCCGTGGCAAAGGTGTCACGGTTCTCTCTTGGGGATACAGCTTTGCTGGCCTTGGATGCTTCCTAAAGGACCTCCAGTTAAAATGAGCTGGAAGCTGTGTTTGCTTGTGGTTGGTAAATATAAGCATGTGTGACATAATTTGAAAGCTCTAGTCTAGGTTAATTAGCTTTTCCATCCACTGATGGTTTTACTTTCTCAGAAGTAAAATAGTATAGTGTGGTCCCCTTATTCTTACTCTACCTCAGGACAGGTGGCAGATTTGGGGGGGAGAAAAAGATTGGTTTCACATCTTAGGGTCCAGAATGTGCTGCCCCCACCCCCACCCCAAGCACTATGGTTTTCAGGCAGATCAACTTGTCTGAACCTCCATCTTGTCCAAGACTAGATAACATGACCTTGGCTGACTTCTGTGGGTCCCACTGGGACAAGGTTTCTCGACCTCAGCACTATTGACATTTTGTGTGGGGGTGATGGTGGGGGTGCTGCCTCTGCCTGTCTGGCTGCTACTTCCTAGGTGCCCTTATTGTGACGACCAAAAATGATACCTGCACCTTGAAAAACCTTGCTCTAGGGAAAGTGACTTTGAACCTGAAAAGTATACAGGAAGGAAGAGAAGTAAATGCTTTAATGCCTTTCAGTGATCCTGCACATGCTCAGTGCTCTCACTCAGGTTTCATAGTAATCCTTAGGATATTACTCCCTGCTCTACAAGTGGAAAAATGGGGTGAAAGTCTGACCAAGTTCAAAGGTCAAATCAGAGCATGAATCTGACAGACTCCAAAGCCTCTCCTCTCTCTTTTAGCAGAGTGGTAAAAGTTGGCATGCACTGACTAAGGTGTAAAAAAAACTTGTCATCACTGAAAATTCTGTGAGAGGACTCACAGAATTTATTCTCTGAAAAAATCTATTCTCTGAAATTATTCATAAAACTCAGCCCTCAGGTGATGAGTGTGGACAAATGAGTCACATGCAGAGCCCCACGGAGGACTGGTTGCCCTCATGACCCCCCAAGGCACCCTGAATTACGCGCACCCTCTTCTTAGTGTCAGCCTCACCTGCACACATGGGAGGACAAGGCTCAAGTGTGTTGTGGTGTTTATATAGCCTAAGTGCTTGTTGTTTCCTACTTGCGACCCTCCTGAAGATCTCAGTTGCCACCGAGAACTAACTATATGTCAGCTAGAGTTTGTTAGCCCACAGTGAATTTCAAATCCCATTCCTCACAGAAACTAAAGTTACATGACACAAAGACCTCTGGGAGAGCAGAGTTGGAGACAGAAGTCCACAGGCAGCCATTCCAGGTTTCGGTTTGCTTCACAGTGGCTGGGGGCCTTCACAGGAGGGTGGGACCAGCCCTCGACTGGGGTGCACACAGATCGAGTCCCTGATAAGTGATTTGTTTCCTACACAGGCTAATAACAACACGTTGTTTCAAGAGGAGAGGATGGGATGGCATAGCAATTTTGTCAACTGAGCATAGCAGTCACTCAGGCTAAGGCAGTTCTCCTGCTGTTGCCTGGGGAGCTCTGGGCTTGTTAGGGAGAGAGGGGCCCTGCTGACGGTAATGAGCCCCTTCTCAGAAGCACAGAGGTGCAGCCCTCAGGAGCAGGGCTGTGACTTCCGGTGGGGAAGGAGTGATCCTCAGGGAGTCACTGGGCACCCCATAACCTGTTTCCCTGGCCATAGCAGCACCCCCCAACATTCTACCCTCAAATGTACAAATGTGTACACACAACACACAGCTGATCTCATGCCATGTGTACTACATGTACACACATGCACACTTCCCCACACATACCACCCAGTCTCACCTCCCACCCCTCATCGGTCACCTCCTCCTGCCCAGGCCTCCCTCTCCCCAGGAATCCCAGCCAAACCTCCTGAAAGCTTCCTGTTAGCTTCCAGGGGAACTCCCTGTATGTCATTGTAATAAAGCATAC